AAATTAAATTATATAAAAAATACATTTAGCCACTTTGTACGAATACCAATATTCTTAGGAAATCTAACCAGAAAATATGCATGTGGTTTAATATAAATAGAAGAACAACTGAATACTTTACTTGCCTATGAAAAGATAATTCGGGAACCTTTACATTAGAACTTCCACACACCAAACACTTTCTAGTCGTTTTTACGAGTATTTAGAAAGTCCAACGAAAAAAAATAGAAATATAATTGCACAAACTTAAAATTACCTTCTCACTGAACACACTTGCATTTTTGGCTATATAAAAGCGGTCGATAAAAGAGTAATTAATACAATTCTTATAATAAAAAAACGCAGAAAACAAGCGTTACACAATGGAAATAAAATTATGACATCTCGTTATGACAAGATTATGACAATGAAAAGTTAGTTTCCATAACAATGTGTAATTTGTACTTCCTAAAACCCTTTGAATAAGAAGACTAAGGAAAGAGCATATCAAAAATCTTAGGTACACCGCGATGGGCCTCAAATATGGCCGACTTAAATTCCGGTTTATCAGTGCCGTTCTAATTTTATTTAAAAAATGTAAAACTATGATGTAGGGTAGACGTGGGGTAGACTCAATAATTTGTTATTTTATTTTACGTTGTGAATAAATGTTGGTAGTTATTAAAATTGTTATAAAAATATATAATCGAGGGGTGTCTCACTATTGGAATTACTTGTACATTTTCTTGGCAGTCGCCGGCAGTCATTGGCAGTCTTGCGGCAGTCGCTTATAATAATTACATGGCAGTCATAGGCAGTCTTCTTCGCAGTCATTGGCAGTCGCTTGTCAACCAAAATTATATTTTGGCAGTACATATACATTTTTTACCCAAGTGAGACACCCCTCGTATATAATTCTAATAAAAATAGATAAGTTATAATAAGTATTTATTAACACAAACATCCGATACGCTACTGAAGCAGGTAAGTCAAATTAACGTATCTAAATTCTTTGACATCTAATCTTTGACAAGTAATAAATAAAAGCTAAAATGCAAGAAAAAGATATAATTTAGTTAATTTAAGTGAATTTCATAAATGATCGGTTTACTACACGTATGTATATTATATAGTCACTTACTAGCGAAAAGTTGTTCCATTATTTCACTCGATTCTTGTCGAGATCTACCCCACGTTACACAACCAATTATTTTAGAGTCTTTTTCGATAAATCGCGATAATGTCACTGTTAATTTAAGTTCTGCCACAATTTCCATCTAGATTTACTACCTTTATACAACTATCAGTAGTAGAATAAACAATAAATAACATAAAATAAGCTCCGTAAAGACTGACAAATCCACAAAATTTCAAATCAAATTCAAATGCATTTCAAATGTGTCAAATGAATCGTCAAACAGAACTGTCAAGGATCCCCACCCTAGAGAGCTTTTTCCGCCCACCATGCATGAATACATGGATAGCATTATGCTCCTTCCTTAGTGTTCTTATTCAAAGCTAAAACCCTTTGAATAAGAAGACTAAGGAAGGAGCATAATGCTATCCATGTATTCATGCATGGTGGGCGGAAAAGCCACCATAAAAGCTCTCTAGGGTGGGAATCCTTGACAGTTCTGTTTGACGATTCATTTGACACATTTGAATTTGATTTGAAATTTTGTGGATTTGTCAGTCTTTACGGAGCTTATTTTATGTTATTTATTGTTTATTCTACTACTGATAGTTGTATAAAGGTAGTAAATCTAGATGGAAATTGTGGCAGAACTTAAATTAACAGTGACATTATCGCGATTTATCGAAAAAGACTCTAAAATAATTGGTTGTGTAACGTGGGGTAGATCTCGACAAGAATCGAGTGAAATAATGGAACAACTTTTCGCTAGTAAGTGACTATATAATATACATACGTGTAGTAAACCGATCATTTATGAAATTCACTTAAATTAACTAAATTATATCTTTTTCTTGCATTTTAGCTTTTATTTATTACTTGTCAAAGATTAGATGTCAAAGAATTTAGATACGTTAATTTGACTTACCTGCTTCAGTAGCGTATCGGATGTTTGTGTTAATAAATACTTATTATAACTTATCTATTTTTATTAGAATTATATACGAGGGGTGTCTCACTTGGGTAAAAAATGTATATGTACTGCCAAAATATAATTTTGGTTGACAAGCGACTGCCAATGACTGCGAAGAAGACTGCCTATGACTGCCATGTAATTATTATAAGCGACTGCCGCAAGACTGCCAATGACTGCCGGCGACTGCCAAGAAAATGTACAAGTAATTCCAATAGTGAGACACCCCTCGATTATATATTTTTATAACAATTTTAATAACTACCAACATTTATTCACAACGTAAAATAAAACAACAAATTATTGAGTCTACCCCACGTCTACCCTACATCATAGTTTTACATTTTTTAAATAAAATTAGAACGACACTGATAAACCGGAATTTAAGTCGGCCATATTTGAGGCCCATCGCGGTGTACCTAAGATTTTTGATATGCTCCTTCCTTAGTCTTCTTCTTCAAAGCTAAAACCCAATAAAATTAATTGTGATTATTTTGGAAATACGGGCAACTTTTAATGCGCATGCGCAAAGTAAGGTTCTCGAGAAAGACAAACCTATTGAATGTCTCATAAGTGAAATAAAGAAGGTTTGAATATGGCATGTCGTGATGTTGGAAACATATTTTTTAATGCTAAACTTATGGCGTTGATTTATCCACGTAAGTATATATGATCTAGACATTATAGACAAAATTTACCTCTACACAAAAGTGCTTTGTTTCTCCGCTAGAGGGCATCAAACTTTTAAAAAATAAACCGTTATTCCGATTTGAATGAGATTTGGGGTGCTTGTGTTTTGCTAAGTGCTTTAACATTTGACCTTCACAAAAATCAAGAAAAAGTACGGGAAAAATATAATATATAATATATAGATATAAACGCTCCATTTCTAGAAAATTATTTTGTTTTAATCATCTGTTGGCAATGCTAACATGGTTAGCATTGTGGTGAATTAATTAAACCAGGTAAATGTAGGCCAATTTACCATACACACATATTTTCAGCTCTACTGTTACTGAGGGTAATTTAAAATTATAATATTTATGAGCATTAATTATTGCACCATTTAATTTTAGTAGCTAGGCAGCATATCTACTTATAATACTGATATTATTTATTCATTTAAAAATTCAATACCAAAATCTTTCATTTCTGCTCTCAAAAATACCGAACTATGAAATATATAGTATTAATAGGTATATTAACATCTCTTAATAACAAAAACTTTCATTTATAAATTAATATAAAAAAACAGTTTTGTTTCTATTAAATCCCTACATACAACTAAGCCCTCATAAAGCTATTCTCAAAAAATAATAGCAAATAGTATCTTAAACCGCAGTATTTCTGAGTAACTGTTTCAATTTGAAGCTCTTCGTCACTTTGTCTTCCATATCGACATTGTTATTCCCGAACACATCGTCATCACCAACCGACATCCTCCTTTCAAAATCCGTGGCCTTCTCATCCAAGAACCTCAAACAGCTAGTAATGTAGTCTTTAACTTTTCCCAGCTGGTCACCCTCGTACTCGTCCGCGTCTTTTATCTCGCCCAGCTCGGCTAAGCGCCTATCCAGATTGCTCTTGATCCCATTGTAGTTGACTCCGTTTTTTCTGCTCACGAATTTGGCTATTTCGGCTTCGATTTCGCCAAGGTGTTGGACGATGGACTTGATTTTGTCCCCGTTAGATTAAGCGGGGTCTGGTTCGTCGTCTGACTCATCGAAGAAGCGAGTCATTCGGTTGGAGTGGGTGAGTTCGTTAATGACAGCTCCGGGCATGACGGCTACACCGTCAGCTTTCAAAATGGATTTCCGTTTTTCGATGGGAGATATGACTCCTTTTTTAGAAACGTTTGAATCTGTAAAAGATATGGTTTTATAAAAATATTCTTTGTAGGTCCAAGAATGTTGAAGGGGAGGTTTGTTAATCTTAGAGTGCAAAATGCAATGGAATTTAAAAATCGTGCCCTCGATTACGTTGCTAAAAGTTTAATTGATATAAAATATACATATAATACTGATATTATTTATTCCTTTAAGAATTCAATAACAAAACCTTTCTTTTCTGCTCTTAGAAATACTGAACTATGTATAATATATTAACATCTCTTAATAACAGAAACTTTCATTTATAAATTAATATAAAAAACAGTTTTGATTCTATTAAATACCTACATACAACTAAGCCCTAATAAAGCTATTCTCAAAATAATAATAATAGATAGTATCTTAAACCGCAGTATTCCTGAGTAACTGTTGCAATTTGAAATTCTTCGCCACTTTGTCTTCCATATCTACATTGTTATTCCCGAACACATCGTCATCACCAATCGACCTCCTCCTTTCAAAATCCATGGCCTTCTCGTCCAGGAACCGCAAACAGCTAGTAATGTAGTCTTTGGCTCTTCCCAGCTGGTCAGCCTCGTACTCGTCAGCGTTTCTTATCTCGCCCAGCTCAGCTAAACGCCTATCCAAATTGCTTTTGATCCCATTGTACTTCACCCCGTTTTTTCTGCCCACGAATTCGGCTATCTCGGCTTCGATTTCACCAAGGTGTTGAACGATGGACTTGATTTTATCAGCGTTAGACTGAGCGGGGTCAGGTTCGTCGTCTGACTCGTCGAAGAAGCGAGTCATTCGGTTGGAGTGGGTGAGTTCGTTCATGACAGCTCCGGGCATGACGGCTACACCGCCAGCTTTCAAAATGGACTTTCGTTTTTCGATGGGAGATATGACTCCTTTTTTAGAAACGTTAGAATCTGCAAAAAGGTATGGTTTTATAAAAATATTCTTTGTAGGTCCAAGAATGTTGAAGGGGAGGTTTATTAATCTTGAGTGCAAAATGCAATGAATTTAAAAATCACTCCCTCAGTTACCTAACTAAAAGTTTAATTGGTATCAAATATACATATAATACTGATATTATTTATTCATTCAATAATTCAATAACAAAACCTTTCTTTTCTGCTCTTAGAAATAGTGAACTATGAAATAGATATAATATATTAACATCTCTTAATTACAGAAACTTTCATTTATAAATTAATATAAAAAAAACAGTTTTGATTCTATTAAATATCTACATACAACTAAGCCCTAATAAAGCTATTCTCAAAATAATAAATAGTATCTTAAACCGCAGTATTCCTGAGTAACTGTTGCAATTTGAAATTCTTCGCCACTTTGTCTTCCATATCTACATTGTTATTCCCGAACACATCGTCATCACCAATCGACCTCCTCCTTTCAAAATCCATGGCCTTCTCGTCCAGGAACCGCAAACAGCTAGTAATGTAGTCTTTGGCTCTTCCCAGCTGGTCAGCCTCGTACTCGTCAGCGTTTCTTATCTCGCCCAGCTCAGCTAAACGCCTATCCAAATTGCTCTTGATCCCATTGTACTTCACCCCGTTTTTTCTGCCCACGAATTCGGCTATCTCGGCTTCGATTTCACCAAGGTGTTGGACGATGGACTTGATTTTATCACCGTTAGACTGAGCGGGGTCAGGTTCGTCGTCTGACTCGTCGAAGAAGCGAGTCAATCGGTTGGAGTGCGTGAGTTCGTTCATGACAGCTCCGGGCATGACCGCTACACCGCCAGCTTTCAAAATGGATTTTCGTTTTTCGATGGGAGATATGACACCTTTTTTAGAAACGTTGGAATCTGCAAAAAGGTATGGTTTTATAAAAAATATTCTTTGTAGGTTCAAGAATGTTGAAGGGGAGGTGTTTGTTAATCTTAGAGTGAAAAATGCAATAAAACTACAACTTTCTGAATTATAGTGATGGTAGATTTTCTGTTATTAAAATTTAGTTAGTATTATCTAGTCACTATACTCTAGGAGTCGATCAAGGAACTAAAAGCAGACAAAGCATTGGGGATTACCCAATAGATGCATCAGTCACAAGGTATAAGTTTAAAGTCAAATTTAAAATAGATATACCGGATGCGTCTCAAAAGTGGCTCACCCCTAACTTTTTTATTGATTGGGATATTCAATATTGTTTTCGGTCACTTCCCCTTTCTCCGATAATGACTATAACTTTTAATTTTTAAATGGCACCCTCGGTACTAACCACACTAAAAATATTAGACGATCAAATTTATTTTTTCAAGGTTCCTTGATTAAAAATTAATGTTTTTAACACAGTCATGGCACTCTAGATTGAAATTTAAAATACCATTTTGTTTTAAGCGAAAGTGTCAAAAGTTGACATACATGACATTCTATTCGGAGTGTCATTTTCTATTGAATAAAGTAAAAATATACCGAGGGTGCCATTTAAAAATCAAAAGTGGTAGTAATTTCCGGTGAAACAGGAAGTGGCCGAAAGGAATTAAATAAGTCAATCAATCTTGATTTATGTCATACACTAACATACCAAATCTCGTTTTTTTTTATCTAAAAAAATAAAATAAAAATAAAGTCTCAAAAGTGGCCCCCCACACTAGAGCCACTTTTGAGACGCACGGTATATAATAACAGTGATTAGTTTAATAAAAATACTTTCAGCTAACAAGTATTGGTACACATAACGTAAAACGTAAAAGGTTCACCACTTCTTCTGTGGTTAAAGGGTGTTTCTACTGTCCCTCAAGCAGCTACAGTTTTACCAAAATTGCGATGTTGTTTTTTAAGAACAGTATCCACAGATAGACATTAATCTTAATTATTTGCATAATATGCAAAAGAAACAAAAACTATATTGGAAATTACTTTATGTCATTGTCAGTCATATGTCCAATTATATCTTTACGAAATTCATCAGTTTTTAACCAAGGCATGATCGAGAAAAAAAGCGTTATAGATGGCTTGGAAATGGAAATAAATATTGCTGTAATTTGTACGCAAAATTATATGGGGTAAGTATGTCATAGATCGTCATTTTCATCGATGATGATTCATACGATCGAAAAAAACGCATCAAAAACGGCTGTAGAATAACAATCGATGATAATTTTGCCTAGGTCAAGCTCTAGACGTCATTTACTTAGCCCTTTTAAGTACTCTTTTAATGGCGCCTTGTGCCAGCTGGCCTTAAGAAGATTAAATTATTTTAATATTGAGTAAAAATTAGTTTTAAAGTATAATAAAATAAGATTTGTGTCTGGAAACGTTTTATCCTTTTTAAATCTTTTTATAAATCGTGTTAATTTTTAGCAAATGACGACTATAGATTGATCTTGCCAAAATTACCATAGTTTTTCATTCCCTAGCCGTCTTTGACGCTGTTTTTTTTTATCATACGTTATTTATATATGTAATTGTATTTAGATACTGACCTGCTTCTGATGCAACTTGGACTACTGTCAATTGCACGGTTTTTCTTTTATCATCTTCGCTCGTCGTAATATCTGAATTTGCCAGATTTTGGTGAATTTCAGCCACTGTTTCATCTGGACCTACCGAACTCATTACTTCAGAGGCATTATTAAGTGTCGTAGCATCTTGATTTTGTTGTTCGTTTTGTTTTTGTTGGTTCTTCTTCTCATTCTTCACTTTATTTTCTTCTAGTTTTTCCTTTAGCGCTGTCTCAGCTTCGCTTATTCTTTTGTAAATATTTTCGTATAGGTTTCGAACTTGGGGTTGTAAGTCGCGACTTCTTCTGTTTAGTTCGTTTTTCAGTACTTCGATCTCTTGCGTTATGGCGTTGTAATGAGTGTCTTCGTTTATGCCTTTGAATTTTTTGATTTCCTTGTAGATACTGTCGACTTTCGGTTTTAGATTATGTAGGGTTCGTCTTTGGCTTCTGCGAGCGATGGTGTTTCTTCTTTCTAATGGCGATTTGGTTTGTAAAGCTCCCATAGTCTAAAATTTATTAGAAATTATGTGTTATTTTTAGATCAAATACATATATGAGTGGTTCAGAAGTGAACTGAATCAAGTCCTAAAAGATAATTATGGAGAAAAAACTGAAATCTATACTACTAAAATATAAAATCCCTAAGTGACTGACATACTGATTAATCACGATCCTGCTCAAACCACTCAACGTAAGAAGCTCAATTTTGGCATACAGGTTGATTCTATGGTGTAGAGGTTCGATAGGAAGGGATTTTTCGAAATTCTAGTTCCGAGAGGGTTTCGAAATTCCAGTTCCAGGCTAAGAAGGTTAGAAGAATTTTTTAGAATTTAGAATGAGTGGGAGGGGGGTTAATCACTTCGACCTTACAGATCCATTGTGTCCCCCTTTCTTGAATCATAACTCATCATACAGTCCCAGGGCTTTGACAAAAGCCAGTATCTGGGACGGTTTTATAGAGGGTAGTTCTCCATCTCCAATATCAGTCGTACCAAAATTCATGGCACGAATGGTTGTCGTCGCTAAGAGGTTCCAAGAGGATTTAAAAAACGGTCTTCAGAAAAAATGCTTAAACACGTATATTTTATTTTGTTTTTTTACATATTTTAAGATTTTTTATAAATGTATTCAGGGTGTTTCGAAAAATTTGGTCATTGGTTAATCACGATCCTGCTTAAAGCGCTTGACGTAAAAAGCTGATTTTTGGAAAACAGATTGACTTTGGGGTGTAGAGGTTCGATAAGAAGGGATTTTTCGAAACTCGAATTCTAAGGGGGTGAAACTATCCCTCAAATATTCAAATATTTTTTATTTTAAAACCAGTGAGTTTTTCGGAAAAACTCTTAAACACGTGTATTTTATTTTGTTGTTTTATCTATTTTAAGATTTTTTTATAAATTTATACAGGGTGTTTCATAAAATATGACCATTGAGTAATCACGATTCTGCTTAAACTGCTTGACGTTTAAAGCTGATTTTTGGCAAACGGATTGACTGTGGGGTGTTGAGGTTCGATAAGGAGGGGTTTCTCGAATCTCAAATTCCAAGAGGGTGAAAACGCCCCTCAAATATTACAATATTTGTTATTTAAAAAACGGTTAGTCTTTCGGGAAAACGCTTGGATAAGCATAATTTATTTGTTTTTTTTTACATATTTTGAAATCTTTAATAAAAAATCATACAGCGTGTTCCAAAAAGTTGGGTAATTTCTTAACAACGATTCTGCTTAAACTGCTTGACGTTAAGAAAATCTTACTTTTGCCAAACGGATTTTTCGAAAGTCAAATTCCAACGAGATGAAACTACCCCTCAAATATTACCAAGTTATATAATAATATATTGTTTTTTCTCATGCTGACATAAATGTGAGAAAATTTTATCCAGTTTGTATGTTAATGGAAATTCTTGCTTTGCTGTATCATCACCATTACACATTGATAAATGAGAGTTAAAGTTTTTTAATGCTACTCAACTACAATAAAACAAGTTGGATAAACAGGCTATAGCTGCTTAATGCGAGAAGCATGACTTGGTTCATTTCTTTACTAAAAAAAACGACATTCTATAAACATATAAAGACGGTTATCTTAAAATAGTAGAACACTAGACTTAGTACATTGGAAGTAAGTACTGCACAAAAGATACTGCATGATCGAAAAAAACGACGCCAAGCTGGCTTTCAAACGACAATGATGACAACATTCACAAACTATTTCATGAAGGACATATATATTTATTAGAAATATTTGAAGCAAGCTTTATGAAATCTAACATATTTTGATAAAAACCTTCAGTTAAATTACGACATTTTTAACTACATATTTTACAGTTAATATTTGTTTATTACTAATTTCCTATCTACTACCTTTTTCAGATAAAAATTTGATATAATCTGTATTAATGTCATTAATATGCTATAAGATTTCAGATATATACATTATAGTTATATAAAATTAATAGGGGGATAGTTACAAATATTATGTTTTGGTGTTTTTAACGTTCCTTTTCTCTAAATTTTAGTTTTATAAATTCGAAGTCTTATTTTTTATGGAGGGTAGTAATACCTCTACCCTCCATAATTTTTTCTTACATCGTAGCGTTTGAAGTATGATGATTTTGAGACAAAATTTGGTGCACATTTAAAGCTCGTTCATAATTATAAGTCTGCTAATTTTTTATTTAGATATAATTCGATATATTTATGTTATTAGCGTGTCTTTTACAAAACTATTTACACTAAAATACACAATTTTGCATGGAGTATAAAGGAAGAGTCAAAAATAGATGTTTGGGGAGCATTTTTTTTTAAATTTTCACATTTAATACCGACATTTTATGACTTAATAATATATAATATAAATAAATTAACACAGTTTAGGTAGTTAGAAAGCCCCAAAAATTTGCTATTTTACAATTTGAGCATGGCTTTGAATATCTAGAAACTTTAATCTATGCTAAATTCATTAAACAAAAAAAATACAGCGTCACATTCAAAAATATATAAGTTGTTTAGAAATTTAATTAATTATTTATCTTTGTGCACTACAATAATACTAGTAGTCACTCCTGTATTTTATAAAATAATTTGAAGTGAAAGTCTCAAACAGGGGACCTTATTTAGAATCCTCGGTCACTCTGTATAAACTCACTTAAAAGAGTACGTTTTGCAACAATTTTGAGAGCTATTTAACTGTCAACAGTTATCACTTTCAAACATAATTTGAAAACATTTTGCAATCTCTCAGTAAAAAATGTTAATATTTTGATATAACACTTTCTAACATAGTTTGCACGGCTATAACTAATTTCCCGATATAATTTATCTGTAAAAAAGTATAATATAACCTGTATAAATGTAAATCAGTAATTTTTCCTTTGTAATGTGATATTTCACGCATAGTAAAATGATATGAGTCATGTATTTTCCATACTATAATGAATATAATATCGTTAATAATAGTTCTAATATGAAACTTACATTGTTCCTTCAATAATAATCACGAAAAAAGTCACATTTAGATTCACTGTGGTCTGAAAACTGCACCTTTCTCGACAATTTTCAGTTTTAATTGAAAATTAATTAGTTTAAGTGTCACACCTACAATGAAACATAAAATAACCAACATGGAGGTCAAAAGATAACCATTGTGATAACGCTGATAACGCGCTGTTACTCATATGTAAGCGTTTTTTTTTCGCGTATTATTGGAAATATATTATTTCTTAAATAATATTTTATTAGTATATTGTAGGTGTTTTAGTAATATTAATAAATGTATCACTGTCACACTGAACTAACTCTGGTAGTAGTTTCTATATTTTACTTTAAACGGTATTTTTAACTTGACGATTTTACATGTTTATTTTATTGAAAAACAACGGAACTGGTTTTTTTATGAATGAGATTGAGTCAGAATGTGATTATCATAAAATTCTTCGAAATCTAATAAGTGTTGTTGATTATTTCAATAATATACAAACTGAATTGGGATTTTGCTGTCTATTCCAATATGATCTGAATACCAAAATTGGTAGTTTGATGGCGCGCTCAGAGGACTCGTGTACTTGGCAAACATTTGTTATTGGTATACAGGGTTCGGCGATAGTGCGTCGGTCAATCTGTAGCTCCTATAATAAACAACTTAGAAATTTTGTTGTATTCATCTGTTATGTTTTTTTAAAAAAAGGCTGAAAAAATATATATTTTTTCTCTTTATTTAATATCTCAGAAACTACCAAAACATATTTTTAAAGTGATCAGAATGGAAGCCAAAAATGCAATAATATACACTGTCTTCCATCTAAAAAAAATCATTCCGATCAACTCACACATTTTTGACCCACCTTATAGAAGTTAAAATATTTTCTTGAAACATGTCCTATTAATAGTTTAGGTTTTCATTTATAAAAAAAAATTAAGCTGTTTATTATAAGAGCTACAGATGCCCGACGCACTATTACCGGACCCTAACATAACTAACGGACTTTTTCTATAGAACTATCTTTGTTGGTTGTTTACAAATTGTATAAGTCTATTTCGAGAAATTTAAGTAAAAGCATTTGCTTAACTTTTATTCATAAGACCCAATGATAACAATACACAATATATACAACTTACAATTCCATACATAAGAGGTTTCGGAAAAAAATAAGAAAGATAGGAAAACAATATAACATACGAACATCTTTTAAAACACAAAATACACTTAGATCCATTTTATCACATACTAAACCAATGAATACCAGAACAACAAACAAAAAATGTAATATATAAAATACCATGCGAATGGGATAAATTTTACATTGGTGAAACATTTAGAGCCTTAAATGGTCGAATTAAAGAACATAAAGATTATTTAAGAAAGGGAGAATTTCACAAATCTAAGATTTGTCAGCATTCATGGGACACAGGGCACAGAATAAATTTTAATAACGCCAAAATTATAACGAAAGAAGCGATAGAATGTATAGCAATCGCTTTTAATGAAAGAAGCGATAAAAGCGATGTATCGCAATCGCTTTTTTGATTTTAAAGAATATAACATAAATAAACATAACATACCTAAAAATTAAAAATAATCATACAGAAAGTTTTTTTTTCGTGTTTACCTTATTAAGTAATTGTTATCAGGTAGTAATTGTTAATTTTGAAGTTGATATAATGTCATTTTAACAGAACGTCAACAGTTTTTGCAGACCAGAGAGAACACTAATAACAAAGTTTATATTAACTTGTGGAATAGGTCATTTCGTAGACAAGTTTATTTTGTCACCGCGCATCCCAGACGCGCATAGCGTTTAGGCGGTCAAGAAAGGAAGTTTTCAACTTTGCAAGTTAAACATTTGACAGGATTAATTAGATTGTCAGTAGCTTTTTCTATTTCTTAGCTCTAGAAGGAGATAACTAAAATCTGTTGACAATCGGAGTAATAAATTGATTTTGACTGAATGTACCTGTTCTTTTAGCTTGTGAGAAGACAAGATTATTTATTGTAATATGATTGTCATTATTGATTATTTGAGATTCCACGATTATTCGGCATTTTTGTAATTTTTGTTTTGTTGTTGAGATCCAGACAAAACATTTCCTTTAAAGGTAAGTTTTATCTCGGTAATTATTTTAAAATACCTAATATTAATAGTGAGTAGTGAGTGCACATAATATAGTCTAACAGCTAGCAACGTTTTCGAGAAAGTATTTTAAGACGTCTGGCTCTTTGATATATCTTTTTATATTTTTTGCTCTCTGGAACAGTATGCGGCCCGTCTGGCTGCCGATATCCGTTGCGTTCACTACTGCGCATCGGAAGAAGATCCTATATTTTTTTTTTAATTTAGTCCTATAAATTCTAGTATTGAATATAAATCGAACATGTCTCCATAGCGCAGTGCGCAGAGTTTCCGACTACGAACCGACGATTCAGAGTTCGAATCTGGGCCAGGGCCAAAGACTTTTTTATTTTATTTTCGTATATATTCTGATAGTAAAGTATTAAATAATTCTGGTGATTCAAAAAAAAACAAATATTTAATACTTTACTATCAGAATACAAACGAAAATAAAATAAAAAAGTTTTGGTCCTGACCCGGATTCGAACTCTGACTCCTCGGTTCGTGGTCTGAAACTCTATGCATTGAGTTATGGAGACTCGGTCGGTTTATATTCAATACTAGAATTTAAATGACTAATAAAATAAGATTTTCTTTCAATGCGCAGTAGGGAACGCAACGTTTACCGGCAGCCAGACGGGCCGCATGCTGTTCTAGAGAGCATAGTAAAAGATATATCAAAGAGCCAGACGTCTTAAAATACTTGTTTTTCCGACGTTGCTAGCTCTCGTACTAATAGTCGTACATTGCTAATTTACATAGGTAAGCATAACCTACGAGATAAATCCGATTGTAAAAGTAAAATATCACATTCTTATTCTTTTCTGATACCTATGGAACGACTAGGTATTATACCTGGTATTATTACAAATTACCAGTAATACAAATTATTTTTTTCAACTGATACTTGTCATATAATAAAGACTATCAAAAACATTGAATACCTACGGGATACCGTAGCTTCCCTGTTTACTCCCAACCAAGTTAGATAAAAAATATATTGAAGATTGCAGCCTTGAGTTGGAGTATGACAAGGAGTATGGGCTCCAGTACGACATGTACAGAAACGGATTACCTAAACTGGTAAGCATGTAAAATTAAACCTTAATGAAAAATTGAACTTATTTATTTTTAGTTCAAGAAAAGGCATGACAATCCACAAAAACTGAAAACCAAATTAAGTTAAATAAATTATTATGTTCCTACACAGTATTTTATTTATAGGTTTTAAAGTCTAATAATAAATATTCGTTGTCAACAAAATAATCTAAAAAAACTACGAAGATTTCTTATTATAAACTTGAAAGATTAAGATTCGGTTCAAATACACAAATTTTTAATTTTTGGCTCCAGTATATAGGTATGAATGCAACCTACTATATCGATAATGCGCTCATAGTTCGGGTTAGACGCCAAAGGCCGCGCCACTAACACAGTCTTTAAAAATTAACGTTGATCGGTCTCTCTCACTTTAGTTATTTAGTGTTCTCTCTGTTGCAGACGTATCTGTTTTAAAAAACTAAATTGTTCTCGAATAGTTGAATTTAAATATTTTAAATAGTTTTTTTCATTAAGAGATAAACTTTCCGAAACGTTAAGCATTTTTTTGTTCATTAGGCAAATTTTTATATCTGTAAACCTAATTTCTGACAAGTAGTTTCCGTTTGGATTAACGTAGAAGTGTTTACAAAAAAAATAATTATTTTATTTTGTAGATTTTCTTGCAGTGGCGAAATACCCATAAATAGGATTTTTTGGAGAAATACGCAGTGGTTGCAATAGTGCTGGTTTACTTTAGAAGTTAAACCTAGTAGAATATTAACTAGTAATAATAATAACTTTGTAATCAACATTTGACAGAGATTTCGGCAATATTGTAATTAATGCTACATCATGTAAGACACACTGGTCTCCTACACGATGTGGCAAATGTTCATGTGTCCGATGTCTGCAACCTTTTAATGACATATTCGTATGGTTTGAATATGAAAAATATTGAATAATCACCATAGGTTATTTAAAAAAAGAGTCCAAAAGAAATCTAACAAAGTTTTATATTAACTTTTAAAAGAAAAACAAACAAAAATATTACCACAGATTACAGTTGATTTTTTCTTGTTCTAAATAAAAAGCGCAAATTCGTTTTGACAACTTGAACGATTTATTTTATTCTCTGTTCGACGAGAAGAAAAACCGGCGGACTGGGAATTTCAGCTTAAAAGAAACTTTTATTTTTGTGTGGCAAAGTAAACGCAGATACTTTACGTAGTATTCTTCTAAGTTAAAATATTGAAAGACGAAGAAATGAGGAATAACGACTCAGAAAAACTAGAAGAAATAATAAATTACTTTTTTTATTAAGCTATTAAGAAAATTAGATGATTAGTTTTGATGGGCTAGGGTTGAAATATTCGTGATCAAATTAGACTAGTCTACTTTTAGCTAGATGGATTTAGGTTTGGATTACTTTATTAAAAGCTAAACACGCACTTTGATTTTTAACTGTTAAGAAAAATAATTATTGGTGCCCATTACTCATTAAAGTTGTTAAAAAAATATACTTCGAACATAAGTAAATAAAAAAATAATTAAAAAATGTCTATACCAATGTGGCGGATTCATCTCTCCAAAAAATCCTATATGGGTATTTGCCACTGCAAGAAAATCTACAAAATAAAATAGTTATTTTTTATTATATCAAGTTAAACTTCAAAATTAACAATGACTGCGTGATAAAAATTACTTAATAAGGTAAAACCAAAAAGCCCCAAACTTTCTGTATGATTTATGTTATTAATAATATTAATTATGATATTTATGTTATGTTCTTTAAAACCAAAGAAGCGATTGCCATACATTTCGAACATCTACAGATGCATGAGCAATACATTTATTTTTATTAGATTGTTTTAAAAAAGCCTTTTTTATTTTTCTTTTAGAGGCTATCGCTTCTTTCATTATAATTTTGGCGTTATTAAAATTTATTCCGTGTCCCGTGTCCCATGAATGCTGACAAATCTTAGATTTGTGAAAATCTCCCTTTCTTAAATAATCTTTATGTTCTTTAATTCGAACATTTAAGGGTCTAGATGATTCACCAATGTAAAATTTACCGCATTCACATGGTTTTTGTATTTTACATTTTTTGTTCGTTGTTCTATATTCCTTGGTTTAGTGTGTGTGATAAAATGGATCAAAGTGTCTTTTGTGTTTTGAAAGATGTTCGTATGTTATATCGTATGTATGAAATTGTTTGCAGTGGCGAAATACCCATATAGGATTTTTTGCAAATATCATAATTGTTTAAGAACCAGAATACAGATACATACGTTGGATCAAATTTAATTTTCAGTAAAAATTGTAGTAATTCGTAATTCTTAATTAGTATATTATACATTCTCCATCCAAAGTAAAGTGCCAATACAGGGTGAGTTTCCTAGGATGTTCTCTATGGGTATCTCGGAAACTACTGGAGATAGAGAGTCAGTTAAATGGGGAAAGAATTGCATTTTTGTTGGGTCATAAATATGTGCCTTTCAGATTTTCGAAAAAGTTCATGGCTTACTAGATATTTCGAAAAAAAAACAAATTTTGGCTATTTTAATCCATTATAATCTATTTTAGACCAAAAATTTTTAAATAAAAGTTGTAGATAATCGCATCCCTAATGAGATTGTGTTCTCCGATTTTTTCTAAAGCCTGTCTTTTTTGACATATGACACAAACAATATTTTTTTAAATGGAAACCATAGTTGGCCATGACATTTTAAGCTTTTCGCCATTTTTTAAGCTTTTCAGCGATATAAGCTATAATATGTTTCTTTCGCGAGTTATAGCCAATTCTTATCTTTCTTGACTAATTTCACTTAGTTAGCCATGGAAACAAGTTCAATCGTCGTTGCTCTCAGAAATGTGAAATTGTCACATCCAATCTTTGTAAATTAAAATAAACAAAAATTGTAAATAAGAGCTTTTCAAGTGAATAAAAGCGTGTAGGATTATTGGTTCAACTTTTCTTGGCCATACAGTTTTGAGGATACGTTGACCGGTGAACGTTACTTACGTTTTTTAGAGAACGGTTTTCAAGACATGTTAGAAAAGTTAAATTTAGATACTCGCGCATTAATAGAGTGGTTCCAACATGACTTTCATTATGACACACCAAACCCTCCCCCACAATGTAAGAAATGTTAAAAATTATTTATATCATAATTATGTAGACTCAGGGATAGAAAGAGGTGCACCAATTGCATGGGTCTCCTAGGTCACCTGACCTATCCATTTTAGAGTTTTTTATGCGGTATAGTTAACAACAAGGTTTACAAAAGAACTTATGAATTAAGAGAGGCACTCGAAGAGGCGGAACAGGAGAAGTTTAATTAAGTCGACCGGTCGTTCTGTGACAATAGCTAGAAATTCAGTTTTAAAAAAATGCATTTGTATGTACTCAAAACAATTGCGGATTTTTTGAACATTTTCTAAAATAACTTAAAGTGTATGTAGTGATATGATTTTTTTAAGTTTTATTCTGTGTAATGTAAATTGTAAAGAGCCGTTTATTAATATATTTTCTCTTTTTATAAGTTATAAATCATAACAAAATTAAAACACCATTGAAAACCGTTCTCTAAAAAGCGTAAGTAACTTTCACTGGTCAACGTATCCTGTATGGTCAAGAAAAGTTGAACCAATAATCCTACACGCTTTTCTTCATTTAAAAAAAGTTTATTTAAATTTTTGCTTATTTTAATTTACAAAGATTGGATGTGACAATTTCACATTTCTCAGAGCAACGACGATTGAACTTGTTTCCATGGCTAACTAAGTAAAATTAGTCAAGAAAGTTAAGACTTGGCTATAACTCAGTAATTTTGTGAAAGAAACATATTATAGCTTATATCGCTGAAAAGCTGAAAAAATGGCGCTCTTTAAGAAGTCATGGCCAACTATGGTTTCCATTTAAAAAAACATATGTTTGTGTCATATGTAAAAAATGACAGGCTTCAGAAAAAATTGGAGAGGAATTAGGAATGTGATTATCTACAACTTTTATCTGAACACTTTTTGTCTAAATTAGATTATAATGGAATTAGGGACAATTTTTAAAATAGCCAAAATTTGTTTTTTTCCAAATATCTAGTAAGCCATGAACTTTTTCAAAAATCTTAAAGGCACATATTTATGACCCCAGAAAACTGCAATTCTTTCCCTATTTAACCGACTCTCCATCTCAAGTAGTTTCCAAGATGCCCATAGAGAACATCGTAGGAAACTCACCCTGTAGATACCTAGCTGATTAATAAAAAAATATGTGGTAATTAAGTTGGACTTTTTTGTGATAATTAAGTTGGACCAAACCAAACTCCATTATTGCTATTTAAAACATCCCCTATATAAATTAATTTGTCAAACTGTTTGATATTTCCGAAAATATGCCTCGTAAAATCAATTTTCAACGATTCCGTTTGAATAGTTTTTTGTTGGTCCATTTATTTCGAAATATGAACCGAATTTACAATTTTAAAATCAATTAATAATTGAAAATCTCTCTAAAAATACCAAATATCATGTTTGTACAACGGGCAATATGATTTGGTAAAAGTTATTAGCATTTTTATTTTTGTCGTTTGATCTGGAACAGTATGAATGAAAAGGCAAATAAAAACGAAAAATTCGAGGTATCGTTTTATTTTGAAATTTTACAATAATTTATTGTCACCATAAAGTATTTCCTTTAACAAGAATTTTATAAATAACTAATTTGCAGTCTCTTTAATATAGATTAGATTGAGAATATCGCCAATGGGTTCTTTTTAGGAAGGGTCCTTCTTGTACTGAAAAAGAACAGAAAATATAGAGACTCTTATACTACCTATAAAACCTAAAATTAGTATCTACATTTTTTTGTTTTTTAATACCATACGATCGAAAAAAAAACGGCGTCAAGGACGGCTGAGGAATGACAATCAGTAATAATTTTGACAAGGTCAAGCCCTATATGTCATTACTTGACTCTTGACTCGTTTTTATTTTTATTGGCGCTTACTGCCTTACTTTATTAATATTTCTATAATTAATCTTAATTTTTGACAAGTTTTATATTAATTTTTAGTAATTCACGTCTAGAGATTGGCCTCGGCAAAATTATCATCGATTGTCATTCCCCAACCGTCTCTCTAACGCACTTTTCTTCTCGATCATACGGTACTTTTTATAGTAGTTCTGGTTTAATAAATGCAGTATTTGTGTGTAAGGGCTAAGGGTCCTTCTTGTACTGAAAAAGAGCAGAAAATATAGAGACTCTTTCTTATACCAAAGACTCTTATACTACCATACGATCGAAAAAAAAACGGCGTCAAGGACGGCTGAGGAATGACAATCAGTAATAATTTTGACAAGGTCAAGCCCTATATGTCATTACTTAACTCTTGACTCGTTTTTATTTTTGTTGGCGCTTACTGCCTTACTTTATTAATATTTCTATAATTAATGTTAATTTTTGACAAGTTTTATATTAATTTTTAAACGTCTAGAGATTGGCCTCGGCAAAATTATCATCGATTGTCATTCCCCAACCGTCTCTCTAACGCACTTTTTTTCTCGATCATACGGTACTTTTTATAGTAGTTCTGGTTTAATAAATGCAGTATTTGTGTGTAAGGGCTAAGAGTCCTTCTTGTACTGAAAAAGAGCAGAAAATATAGAGACTCTTATACCAAAGACTCTTATACTACCTATAAAAACTATAATTAGTACGGTTTTTTTCTGTTTTTAATACCATACGATCGAAAAAGAAACGGCGTCGAGGACGGCTGAGGAATGACAACCGGTAATAATTTTGGCGAGGTCAAGCCCAATGTGTCATTATTTGACTCTGACGTTTTTTTATTTTTATTGGCGCTTACTGCCTTACTTTATTAATATTTCTATAATTAATGTTAATTTCTTAAAAAAGTTTTATATACCAATTCTTAGTAATTCACGTCTAGAGATTGACCTCGGTAAAATTATCATCGATTGTCATTCCCCTACCGTCTCTCTGATGCACTGTTTTTCTCGATCATACGGTACTTTTTACAGTAGCTCTGGTTTAATAAATGTAATATTTGTTTTTATTTATAACTACACTCGATATTTTTAGTCCTGAACGTGGATTTTGCTAAGCATGTCAGTTAGCATGATTAGCAAAACGAATACCTACTTAGAGATTTAAATAAAGTACGGTAAAATTACGCATTTTAATTTTTAAGTTTTTTGTTGTTTATTCTGATATCATTTAGATATCGCCTGTATAAATAAAATTAAAATATTTTTTTTCTCTGGGTGGCTATTAAAAGTTATCACCTTAAGAAATATCTAGTAGCAGAATACTTACAATTAATTGAATAACTCTTGGTTTAGCTCTATCTTCTTCGTTGTTTTTTCTTGTAGACTTGTCAATATTTCCTTCTAAGATTTCTTCACTATCAACTATCTGGTTTCCATTTACAGTTTCACCAAAATGGTGAGTTTCTTTAATCTTATTAGAAGAAATTTCAGTGTTTTTAATTAAACTATTATTTTCTAAACTTTTCACATTATCTGCTACTGCAGGCCATCGGGAATGAGAGAGTTTTTCATTACTTTCGTTCACACAATCATCACAACTGTCTGATACATTAGAAGACATTTTATTATTTATATTAAAATTATTATTTTTTAATCTATTTACATTATCTGAAGCCTCTGATACTTCTGCCAATTCAGACAAAAACAGTCTCTGATCACTATTATGAATATTATCTTCACCACAATCTGATTCATTAACTAGTACATATACATCTGCATCTTCTGGATTAAATGCATCTTCTAATATCGGGTCTAAAACCTCCCTGTCTTGATCCAAAAACACTTCCATAGTTGAAGAGACAAACTTTTTTCGTTTCTTTGCATCAGACTGAGTTCTTTTAACAACACCTTTACGAGTATTTTCAATCTTTTTATCGATTTCTTTATTTTCTTTTTCCTTATTTTCTAAATAGTTTTCCCAAGTTTCGAGAGAACCAATAGAATCTAAAGATGTCGATTTCCGTTGGTTTCTTTTGACATCTGTCATCGGTCGTAAAATTGAAGGAGAGTTATTATTACCACCCCCATTTTGAGAGAATGCAAATACTTGTCTTTGCACGTACGAAAAGTTTCTTAGCGTTTCCTTGTTGATATTTTGTTCATCGTTGAGCCAATCAATTTGCTTCATGTGAAAAGTAATTTTCTCTACGATTTTCATCAGGTCTTGGGTAGAGGAGGTTATTTCCTCATAATGATAGTTCTTCGCTTTTTCCAGGGAAAGTTTTACGTCATCAAGTTTTTGACTGGAAACGACGTTTTGGAGCTCGTTTAAGTCGTATTTGATTTGTTCCTCGAATTTTTCGACACAATGTTGTAAAGTGACACATAATTCGTTCATAGACATAATCTAAAATATAAAAAAAAACTATATTAAACGGTTTTAATGAATACTTACAAATACTCACCGCAGATAGGTGTATAAAATTCACTAGCCTTATTATATTTTTGGTTAGAAATATCTTTGTATACCGCACTGTCTGTCTGAGTTAGATTCATTCGATACATTAGCAAATTTGGTCTTAATCTTATCTCCTAAAAATAAAACAATAATCTAAAACATATAATTGTTTATTCTGGAATTTTTTTTGTTGCTAGAAATCACGACACATAGATATTTTTATAATTTGTATTGTATTTAAGATCCTATATTTATTTCTTGCAAAACATATGATTAAATAAGCAATGCCTACCTATAACAGGAAGCTGATATAATATATTGTGTAATTTTTTATTTAAATTATATTTCTTATACCGTTTAAGATAAGATATATTTAATACTATCTGATTATCCCGAACTTTATCACCATGTATTTTTAGTTGCATAATTTTCGGTGTAACAGTTTGTTTAAAATTACGTCAAAAATATGACAAGATGACACAAAATCCACCTACATGTAGCAAAGTCCGTAACTCTAATGGCCATTGTTCTCATTCCATTGAATCACCTTCAAATTCTTCATCCAGTTCAAAGGAAGTAGTTCAAGATGAAATCGAAAATGTTGTAAGCACTGCGGGGAAAAACATGGCATTATTTGAGGACGAAGCTGTTGATAAAATCACGAAAATAAAACTAGAAGTTGAAAACATTAAACACGAAATTATAGCGTTGGATAAGGATGACCTGGAAAAAGATTACAAGAAGTACGAAGAAGTTTTAATACTGAAAACATTAAGTTTGGATAATGTCGAAACGAAAGGTTTGGAGAAGATCAAGGAAATCAGGAAAGCTACTATATTATTTGTACAGGATTGTTTACAATTACTGGATCATAAAATAAACGAAAGTATTGATAAATAAACGAGTGTTTATGTAATCCATACATAATTATAAAAACTCATCTTATTAGATATTTTTATCCCGTTTCTCAAATCATTCCGGTTATTGATATTTCAACGAAAAGGTTACAAGACTAAGAATTGAGACATTGAAACAGGCAGATGGAATATGAAGCATTTTATATGGGGTGTTTCCTACGATGTTCTCTATGGGTATCTCGGAAACTACTGGAGATAGAGAGTCAGTTAAATGGGGAAAGAATTGCAGTTTTGTGGGGTCATAAATATGCGCCTTTCAGATTTTTGAAAAAGTTCATGGCTTACTAGATATTTCGAAAAAAAAAACAATTATGGTTATTTTAAAAATTGTCCCTAACTCCATTATAATCTATATTAAACAAAAAGTTTTCAGATAAAAGTTGTAGATAATCACATCCCTAGTGAGTCTGTGTTCTCCGATTTTTTCTAAAGTCTGTAATTTTTGACATATGACACAAACATATGTTTTTTAAATGGAAACCATAGTTGGCCATTAGTTGGCATAAAAGCGCTATTTGTTTTTTTTTTGAAAAATTACTGAGTTAGAGCCAGTCGTTATTTTTCTTGACTAATCTCATTTTTTTCACTAATTTCACTGTGGGTATAGTATTTTTATTCTGTTATGATTTATGACATATAAAAAGACAGAATATATTAATATATGGTTCTTTACAATTTACATTACAAAAACTAAAACTTAAAAAAATAATATCACTTCATGCACTTTAAGTTTCAGAAAATGTTCAAAAAATCTGCTATTTTTTTGAGTACATAAATGCATCTTTTAAAACTGAATTACTAGCTATTCTCACAGAATGACCAGTCGATTCAATTAGACTTTGTACCGCCTCTTCGAGTGCCTCTCTTAATTCATAAGTTCTTTGTAAACCTTGTTGTTACCAATACCACATAAAAAATCTAAAATGGATAGCTCAGGTAATCGTGGAGGCCCATGCAATTGGTTCAGCTCTTCCTATCCCTGAGTTTGCATAATTATGATACAAATAAGTTTTAACATTTCTTTCATTATGGGGGGGGGGTCATAATGAAAATCATGTTTGAACTACTCTATTAATGTGCGAGTATCCAAATATAACTTTTCCAATATGTCTTGAAAACTGTTCTCTAAAAAACGTAAGTAACGTTCACCGGTCAACATATCCTCGAAAATGTATGGCCAAGAAAAGTTGAACCAATAATCCTACACGCTTTTCTTCATTTGAAAAATTCATATTTACAATTTTTGTTTGTTTTAATTTACAAAGTTTGGATGTGACAGTTTCACATTTCTGTGTTTTTCACATTTCTGTTCTGGGAAATTGTTTAAAAATGATAAGAATTGGTTATAACTCAGTAATTTTTCGAAAAAAATATATTATAGCTTATATCGCTGAAAAGCTTAAAAAATGGCGCTTTTTATGAAGTCATAGCCAACCATGGTTTCCATTTATAAAAACATATGTTTGTGTCATGTGTCAAAAATGACATATACCTATAATCTAATTGAGGATGTGATTACCAAAAACTTTTATCTGAAAACTTTTTTTCTAAAATAGATTATAATGGAATTAGGGATAATTTTTAAAATAACCGAAATTTGTTTTTTTTTCGAAATAACTAGTACGCCATGAACTTTTTCAAAAATCTGAAAGGCGCATATTTGTGACCCCACAAAACTGCAATTCTTTCCCCATTTAACCAACTCTCTATCTGCAGTAGTTTCCGAGATATCCATAGAGAACATCGTAGAAAACTCACCCTGTATAGTTCAAATAGAAAGCATAAAAAGAGAGTATAAAAAGTAGGTACCTAATAAGATGTAGCTGAATAAAAGCTGATATAATACATAGATAAACAATAAAAATCTAGTATAGATTATCACAGTTTGGCATTTTTGGAAGAGTAATTTTATGACAAAATTTAAGTCCACGAAAAAAAAGTAGAGCCATTCTATTTTTACCTATATCTCTATTTACTATTTCGTGAAACTAATAAGATATTGTCAGGAAGAAATATGATGATACATTAATTTTACAATCCTATAAAGAAAAACACTAAATAATACAAATAATAATCTCTTTGTTTCAGTGCTCAGTTAACAGCTGTGTCTAGAGGAGATCAGAGATCGTCTTGTGTCGGTTTGGAGGGCACGTCCAACAGAAAACTTCCACCTCCGTTACTCAGGTCCAGAACTCTTCCAGCCATTGTCGTACCAGGCGTAAACATCATCCAAGCTCAGTTGGGGAACTGTGTTCGAGGCAATGGTAAGATAATTTTTTTTTTAATTTTAAATAATGTCTATACAAAATTAAAGAACATAAAGATTATTTTAAAAAGGGCGATTTTTGCAAATTTAAGATTTGTTAGCATTCATGTGGGACACAGACCACAGAGTAGATTTTAACGACGCAAAAATTATGATGAAAACCCTGTTAGCCCACGGCCACACTGAAAGCGTTTTTTGCGTTTTTAGTGCGAAGCGTCTTTACCGACTAAAACAAAATATGTAAGAGGATTATATAGGAGTGACCCCACCAAAAGCGTGTAGCGTTCGGCGTATCTCGCAAAAAAACGCAAATGAAAACAAATTAGTTTGTTTTCTATAGGGTTTTTAGCGATTTCTAAGATGAGACCCCGTCATAGGCGGACGTTATATTTAATAATACAATAAAAATAAATTAAGTAGTATGCATTTTTTTATTTTAGGGTATTTTCTAAAAATATTTTTATAGGGAACATCTAGGTACTGTTTAGGAAGATTCTATTAAATTTAAAAATTTGAAGGAAATGCTTGAAAAGTGTAGTTTGAAATGTTGAAAAAGTAATAAATTAAAGGAAAAAGTAAAAAATAGTTTTTATGCGTAAAAAAGGTTTTTTAACCGAAAAATAGTTTTTATGTGTAACAATACGCGAAAAAAGTAGTTTTCCACCAGTAACAGATAGTTTTATACGCGTAAAAAATAGTTTTTTACGTGTAACAGTTTTATTCGCGTAAAATAATAATAATAGTTTTTTACGTGTAACAAATAAACGTGTAACAAATAAACGTTTTTTACACGTAATAATTTGATTCACTTTTAAAAAACTTGTATTAAAATATCAATATTTTTGATAAACACGTGGACTGCTCACAAATACACGCCGCGTCACTACGTATTTCTAAGCCGTTAACACGTTTCGTTACAACTAGCTCGTGTGTCAGGGCCGTCTCGCTAGCTCCGGCCTTGAATTTTTACTCCCAGCGCGCGTAAAGAACGTTTCACTCCGAAAAGTTTAAAAAAACATGTCCTAAAATTGCGTTAGCAACTAGTAATATTTACTATTCTATTACATAAATATAATTATTTATTATATTATAATTAAAACAAGTAACCACAACACTACAACATAAAAAAACTATACACATATAAACTAAAATTCGTAAAATAAATGGCAAATAATAATTATTATTTTAACACACACCAATGGCACTAGCAGTATATTGTGTTTGTCGCCGAATATTATGCTACGGCCCGTCCACAATTCAATCCCAGCATCTTTTATCTTCGTCTGTTCAACGCTAACCGCGCCGATCTCGCCTATCTCTTTCTCACAGGATTGATTGTTGAACGGGCCGGGAATCCACGAGCTTGCGACGTTACTAATTGACATCTTGATAGAAACTGCATACCTGCCGTGTCTTTTGCGTGTTTTTAATAGACACAAATCGAAAAAAAACGCTTAAAAAGGTAAAATTCTAAAAAAGCGCTTGAGACTAAAAAACGCAAAACGCTAAAAACGCTTTCTGTGTGGCCGTGGGCTTAACCTGTAATAGAAAAATAAATGAGGCTTTTTTAATACAATCTAATATAAATAAATGTATTTAGTTCAGTCATTGGGGATCAAAAAAAGGGCCTGCTTGGAAAAAAGTCTGGAAGTTTTGAAACTTTGCAGGTTTATAGGTTTTGGGGTCCCTAACTAAAATCCATAAAATGCACATTTCCAGACTTGCCGCCGGCGCCGCCATCTTGCCAAGATGGTGCCCAAAATCGGTATTTTGTAAATATCTCCAAAACTATGCGTTTTTTGTAAAAATTTGAAGAGAGCAAAATTAAAGAGAATAAAATTTCCTATAAAAAAGTTATATGAAAATTTTCCCTAAAGCCAACCGTTTAGGCACAAAATCCCTGGAAATTTTACAATTTTGCGTTAAGTATGATATACATACTATAGTCGATTTTCCGAAGTAATCAAATGTCGATTAGTGTTCACTAAAACTAGTTTTAGTTTAGTTTCTTCAATTTT